GACACGCTGTTATTGGTGTGTATCAATTTCCAATGTTGGATCCCAATGTGGGTCGCCCTCCAGAAAAGGAGGAAGATGCGGATGAGGTGGAAGATCAGGTGGCAGATGAAGGTGCTGGTGTCGGAGAATGGTTAGGCGATGCAGTCGCTAACTTCGAGGAGGAAGACTCTGCGCCGGTGGAACCTGCGCCAGTTCTGGAGGCAGAGGTGTTGAAAATCCAAGCTTCTGAGAAATCCTGGAAGGAACTGAAGGACCACTTGACCCAGCCTGTCCGTATGGTCAACTTCGTTATGGTGGAGCCGATTGTGGACAAACAGCAAACAACTGTTTTGTCGGCAGTTCAAAGAATGATGGTGCGCTTGCAGAGACATGGGTATCCGGTGTTGAGAATCCACTCAGATCGAGCGGGGGAGTTTGTCAATGCACGCTTCCGGTCCTTTTGTGAAACTCGTCTGATATATAGGACCACTGGTGATCCTGGAGTCCCGCAAACAAATGGGCGCGCTGAAGCATGTGTGGGTTTATTCAAACGTGGTGTCAGGTCGCTCTTAAAGGAGGCGCGACTCGGGCCGGCGTACTGGGCACTGGCTGCTCGCCATTGGTCAATGTTACGGTGGCAGAAAGCTGAAAGGGAGTTGGGGTTAAATCCTAAATCATTGCTTCCCTTTGGTGCTCAGATTCAAGTCAAGCGTCGTCCGTGGGAGTTGCTGGGTCCGGATGGAACAAAGAAAGGTCGGCAATGGGTCGATCGTACGCAGCCCGCGCTTCTTTTGGGTCCATGCGATGACCTACCTGGTGGTTATTGGGTGGAAGCTCAAGGGACTGCAAAAGATCCGGATGAACTGGTGTTATTTCCCTGCACTACGATTTTTTCCAATATAAAGGAACCGCCTGCATTGGAGCTGGAAGGGGTGGTAGAAGAACAGGAGCCTTCTCCTCCAGAGCATCGTCTCAAGGGGAAAAAACCGGCGCTTCGGTTCGCTGATGAGGAAGGTCCTCCTTTACCTCCGCCTCGCGATCCTCCAGTTCGTCATCGGTTAAATGAAAAAAGCCCGGCCTCTTCACTGCGTGGTCATGTGGGCTCCTTGCGCTTGCTTCGCAAGCGGGGGGAGAGTCCGCCCTTAGAAATTTTCGAGGATGACATGCAGGGTCTGGGGGAGCTGGAAGAAAATGCAGATGTTGAGGACAATGTTCCTGGTGATGAGTATTGGCCGACTTGCTGTTCTCCTCATGAAAATGCTTATTTGGTCTGCAAAAGTGAGACTGCTGAGGATGGAACACAGTTGGAAAAAGAAGAGCAAAAAGCCAAGTCAATGTATGAAAGGTCTATGTATGATTACGTGGACTGCGAGGAGCTTTTGGAAGGGATTGTATACCCAAAGAGGGTGAATCGAAGAGGTGGTATCAACAATTGGTGTACAAGTACGCGAGCTCTGGTGTTGGGCCACTATACTCATGGCGGAGTGTGTGGTATTACAAAAGAGACTCATCGGAGACCATGGCTATGTCGTTATTTGGCATCATTCGTGAGGCACCACAATCCTGAAGCCAAATTTTCTGCTCTTCAGATCTCGTGCAATGCTCCGGTGTCATTGCATAGGGATAGTCACAATGAAAAACATTGCTGCAATTATGTGTGTGGCTTTGGTGACTATAAAGATGGTCAGCTGTGGGTTGAGGATGAAAAGGTTTTAGAGGAAGGAGCTGAAGTGGTGGAGCAATCCTATGGGAAGAAAGTCTTACCTGGAAAATTGGTCGATATCCACTGGAACTTCATGTCGTTCTTTCCGAGAAAACTGCATGGTCCTATGCCTTGGAAAGGGAACAGGGTATCCTTGACAGGGTACACACCTGTTTTTATGGAGCGTTTGGGCTACAAGGATAGGTGCTATCTTCTCCAATGCAAGTTTCCTCTTCCAGAACCACAAGCTGAAGAAGGTGAAAAAAGGAAATGGTTAAAAATGACGTTGAAAGAAACCTCGCTGGACGACCTTGCAGAGGAAGTCGACTACGCTGTGTTCGAAGCGCATCAATGGGCTCTAGAGGAGCATTTGAGTATTCGACGCCTAATTGCTGAACAGGAATGTTGCATTTTGGACGAGTTCCATGGATCGGCCAATGAGTCGAATGAGGAAAAAGGATCAGAGACTAGAGAATGGCTGGTTAAAGCAAAAAGGGCTGAGGAACAGCTCTCGAAGTTTTTGGTCAAAGCAGCTCAAGTTCAGCAAATGGTACAAGAAAACACCGCGCTTGAGGCAGCAGAGGAGGTTGAGTTCCTGCAAACAAAAACAATCCCTACACAAGAAGCCATGCAAGAGCTGGAAAAGTGGAGGGAATCATTGTCGGACGAGGTGACGTCTTTGGTGAAAGAGTTGGAGGTGGTGGAACCAACAACTCAAGAAAAGCTGGACAAATTGGCGGAAGAGCCTAATGCACCGGTGATTGAGTACGTTCCCAGTCTGGTGGTGTTTACCCGGAAGCAAGGGACAGGGAGGCGACGTGCCCGTATCTGTGCATGTGGAAATTTTATTTCGTCAACGGCAGCTACAGAATACGAAGGGCCAAGGTCCCTCAGTCGTCACTCGCTGTACGCTCCAGGTTTAGATTCAACTACATTTAGGTGTCAAGTGAGGCACGCAGCACATATGGTGTGGATCATCGCTGGCTTAGACATTTCCAAAGCTTTTCTGACGGCGCCGATGAATAGGGCGCAAAGAGAAGGGCGTCTGGTGGTGGTGCAGCCCCCAAGGGCGGCGGTGAAATTGGGTCTTTGCACAAAGGAGGAGCGGTGGATTGTGAGAAAGGCCTTGTACGGTTTGGCCGAAAGTCCTGCAGCATGGGTGGAGTGGCGAGACCAACGTCTTCAAGGTATGTCTTGGGTGTCAAAGGATGGACAAGCAATGAGCTTTCAGAGGTCCAATGCAGACCCAAGTCTGTTCCTTATTATGGCGCAAGAAGAAGCCGGAAGGTGCAAGCAAGTTGGTAGGGACAATGGGTCTTTACGTGGATGATTTTTGATGGCTGGGACTATGACAGTGCTCCGGGAGGCCTTGGAACAGATCAGGAAGGAGTGGAAAACTTCTGAACCCGAGTTCTGTGGTCCAGGCTGTGGTGATGGATTCCTGAAGTTTTTGGGTGTCCAAATCTGGTATCGAAATGGCAGCTTCTTCTCAACCAGGAGGACTTTGTGAGAGATTTGCTGAACCGACGAGGGTATCAGATCGATGAAACTGGAAAAGGGAGTAACCTGCCAATGGTGAAAGAAACTCCAGGTGAAGAAGAGGAGGTAGATATTCCTTCCTTGCGAGCGGCTCAAGGTGCCGTAGGGGAGTTCCTCTGGGTGGCAATCAAAACTCGACCTGATTTGGCGTTCTGCACGAGCCAGTTGTCTTTGTGGACATCCCGAAGGCCGCGATTTGTGGTTAAAAAGGCTGAGGAGGTTTTTCGATACCTTGCTGCAACTCCAACGTTAGGCCTGACGTTCGGAGCAATCGCAACATGCGAAAAAGAAAGGAATGAGGTGTTGCGTTATGGACGAGGCGTCAAGGTGGTGGAGTCCTACGCGGATGCCAGCTTTGCAGCAGGTGAAAATGAAAAGAGCCACTCAGGAGCGGTGGTGGTGTGGGGTGACTGTCCAGTGATGTGGGCAACACAGAGACAATCAACGGTGGCGTTAAGTACTGCTGAAGCTGAATTACATGCGTCCATAGAGGGAGCAACGATGATTCAGTCGTGCACCCCTATAATTGCCGCTTTGATTGGAACAGGTGAAGAATCGCTGCAAAAAGTGCTGTATACAGATTCGGTTTCAACGTGCTCGATCATTCAATATCCTGCTGGAAGCTGGAGGACAAGACACCTGAGAATTCGAGCAGCCGGTGTCAGGTCTCTGGTGGACCGTAGTTATATGGTGATAGCGCATCTTCGCGGTGAGTATATGATCGCTGACCTGTTGACCAAGTTGATGAGTGGACAGGTGTATGCAAAGCAAAAGGCACTTTGGGGTCTCCGACTGTTGGTACAAGGGACTGACTTGAAGAGGGCCTCGCTTGCAATGGCGGTCATGATGGTGGCTGCATCTCTGCAAGGGATGGCAACTGGTGGCGAAGAAGTGTCAACTGCTGGTTTCTTTTGCTCGGAAGAAGGGGTGTGCAAGGTCGCCAACACATCTACGGTGATGGTTCTGGCTCAAGGTATTGAAATGGTTATCAACAATTCAGACCTTGTTGCGTATTTGGTGGCAGCAATTATACTCTGGGAATTGGCATGGTGCCTCTTTCGGCAGCTGTATAAATGGCTGTGGATCAAGAAAGCGGTGGTTATTCCTGCGAGTGCCACTTTGTATACAACAGTGGGTGGGAACTGTATGCACGCAAGCAGTGACTGTGATGTTCTGCGATATTCACAGCCCAGGGCTAAGACGCTTTGTAAGCATTGCCTCAAGGATGGCTGGGTGGTGAATGCCGAGTTCCTTGGTGAGGAACGGGCCGCTGGAACGTGAATTTTTTCAAGTGCGAGGTGAAGAAATCCTCAACGGTAAAGGATTCGGCCAATGAGCTGAAGGTTCGTCCTGGAAGACGTAAAACCATAATGTGCATTTCAAGCAGCTGGCTGCTGCCTAAATGGCGGTTTTTGGCCAAAGATCTGCACCTCCAATGTGTCCTAGGAAATCCTAGGACAGGGGGAGTGCGGAGCTGCAGTTGGTATTGTAGAAAGGAGTTGGTATTGGAAGTTGAAGGGTCAATGCACCCGGTAATCTTTTGGCTCAAGCCATGACCAAAGCGGTCGAAGGTTTCGTAAAAAGTGTGCCCTTGGTTTGGGGTCTTGTTGTTTGGTTGTTGGTTGTTCCAGGGGAATCAAGGGTTTCTGTTGGGGTTGACTGTTTTGTTCCCTGTCCTCCTTCGGTTGCCCCCCGTACCCTAAACCCTAAACCCTAAACCCTAAACCCTAAACCCTAAACCCGAAACCCGAAACCCTAAACCCCAACTCAACCCTGACTCCTGCGGCCGCACTCTCCGCAGCCGCGGCGGAGGCCGCGATCTCCTCCGAAGCCCGGCGCCGGAAGGGCCTCAGACCAGGGGTTTCGGGTCTTGGGTTTTGGGTTTAGGGTTTGGGGTTTCGGGTTTGGGGTTTAGGGTTTAGGGTTTAGGGTTTAGGGTTTAGGGTTTAGGATTTAGGGTTTAGGGTTTAGGGATTGGGGTTTTCGGGGGTTTGTTGAGGGGTCGACAGGTTAGTCGAGGGGCTAAGGTTTGGGGTTTTATAGGGCTTCAAGGTTTTAGGGTTTAGGGTTTTCGGGGGTTGGGGGTTTCGGGTTTGGGGTTTTATGGTTTCGGGTTCGGGTTTGGGATTTGGGTGTTGGGCGTTTCGCCTCACAGTGGCAGGAACTACCATGTGGAAAACACCACGGGGCGCGGAGGGCGGCATGTGTCGGGAAAGCTTGTGCTGGTTCAGATACCATTCAAGAATGGCGCGGTGCGTTGGTTTATTTCTGACCACCCCCTGAACGCTAAACCCTACGCCTCAACCCGACTTTAAAAGTGGCTTGGGAAATTGCGAAATCCTAAACCCTACGCGTCAACCCAGCTTTAACAGTGGCTTGGCAAATTGCGAAATCCTAAACCCTACGCCTCAACCCGACTTGAAATGTGGCTTGGGAAATTGCGAAGTTGGCTACACCGATTGCGCTGGGCAGCCTCGCTTTTTGAATCCCTCTCGTCTAAAGTGGAGTTCCCACCAACCTTCGTGTGCCAGAACACTCATGTCAACCCCAAACCCGAAAATAGTGGCCCTAAACCCTAAACCTCAAACCCTAAACCCGAAACCCTCGGCCCCACACGTGGGAGACTGCCAGTCATCATCCTGATATCAAAAGAAGGCGTACAAGTTCTATGTATTTTGTCTTGAGGGTTTAGGGTTTAGGGTTCAGGGTTCAGGGTTGAGGGGTGTAACATGTAAGGAAATCGTCCCGGGTTTAGGGTTTAGGGTTTGGGGTTTAGGGTTTAGGGTTTCGGGTTTAGGGTTTAGGGTTTAGGGTTTAGGGTTTTTGGGTTTCGGGTTTCGGGTTTGGGTTTAGGGTCTAGGGTTTCGGGTTTAGGGTTTAGGGCTTAGGGTTTAGGGTTAGGGGTTAAGGTTCAGGGTTGAGGGTTTAGGGCTTAGGGTTTAGGGTTCAGGGTTCAGGGTTCAGGGTTCAGGGTTCAGGGTGTCTGGGAACCGTTTAGGCATGAAGAGGATCCCTTTCAAGGGACCTACCCCATCCTTCCACGCCTCGTAGGTGTTTTTTCCAGCGTCCAGGGGTTTCTGGGATTCAAGGGCGTTGGGGAACCCTAAACCCTAAACCCTAAACCCTAAACCCTAAACCCGCAAGGTGAGAACGCACGAAATCCATTAGGAATTCCACTTCTTAAAGTTCTCGTGTCTGATATTTAACATATACATATTTACAGACATGTATGTATAATTTTACATAATCGTATGACAGCGATCCCTTCTTCCCTCCAATCTATGCTGATATTTCCATCCTAGGTATTCTTGTACAGAAAGGCTATGTTATACAGGGAGTCTGCTTATGACGACAGCATTGACCCAAATTGGCAAATGAGGAAGTATGCAATGGTTCGGCCAATGATGGCGTGTTCCCTTCTCCAATCTAGGACAACACACCACACGTGCCAGGAACTGGGTTAGAGCAGGAAACGCGGTTTGGACGCACTTCAAGATGTGGCTATCTCCAAACCAGCCTTCACTCATCATCGGCAAGCTACATAGCCACTCAGCTCTGATCCGGCAGGGCGGTGACAAAAACCGGACATTTCTAACAGCGCGTGCATATATATGTTTCGTTTCACTCGCATACACATTGAAAATACTGAATCTGTGAACGAAGCGAATCCGCGAATGAACATGTCGAGAAAGAATGAAAGACACATGACACTGATTCGCGGTGAACGAACACCCTGTGCGTCAACAAAGAAATACTACTTGCGCGCACCTTTGATCTCTTATTCTTCTTGTTGTACACATAACCCGCAGATGTAGCACAACAACCCCACAACGGTATTCAATCATAGTAAGCCTATTGAAACCACAAACCCTTGTAAACCGTTCTAAACTCTTCATAAGCCCCTGTCAACCCTTCACAACCCCGATAGAACCTAAACCCTATAAACCCTATAAGCCCTATCACCCCACCAACCCTACAAAGATTAACCTGCATAAACCCTACTGACCTCATCGGCCCTATAAGCCTGCAAAACCCTAAAAAATCTACCCCAAAAAAATCCTCTCCCAACCCTGAAAGACAACACCTCTAAAACCCGGAACAGCAAGTCGGTCCTCATCTTCGATGCGGATGCTCCTGAGCCATGCAGGACCCTTCCACCGCCGCCCGCAAAGCCCACCCTCAACCCTTAATCTAGGGGCCTTGGGAATTCGAATAGGGTTTTGGGGGTAATTATAGTACTATGTTACTATATAGGGACCGTAAGGGAATACAATTAGTAATTCTTCCGACCCCTATGTTACCTTTTCCAAGGTTCGGGGGTTCAGGGCTGAGAGGTTGAGATTTTTAGAGCTTGGAAGTTTAGGGTTTGGGGTTTCGGGTTAAGCTTTGGGGTTTGGGGCCTTTATCTTGGGGAAGTCTTTCGGGATACAAAAAACGGGTGCGTTTTCTTTGGAGGAAAGGAGGCTCGGCAGGTAACCCACAAAACGGGGATAAACGCTGGGCGCGTGCAAGACAAGGCTGAAAGCCAGTGGAGCCCTCTCAAGCCCCGAAACCCTGGGCTTTTTAGGGCTGGGAGACCACGACCCTAACAACCCTAACGAAACCCCAAAACTCTAAATCCTAAAACCCAGAGCCCTAAACCCTAAACCCCAAACCCCAAACCCTGAACGAACGTGTTTCCAAAGGGGTAGAGGCTCGTGGGCTTCATGGTTCCAGGGCTTTTGCGCTGAGGGTTGGACGCAGGGCTTAGGGGCTTGGAGTTAAGGGTTTTAGGGTTTAGGGTTTTAGGGTTTAGGGTTTAGGGTTTAGGGTTTAGGGTTTTGGGTTTTGGGTTTTGGGTGTAGGGTTTTGGGTTTAGGGTTTAGGGTTTTGGGTTTAGGGTTCAGGGTTCAAGGTTTTAGGGTTTAGGACGAACCACCAGGAAAGCACTGCCCAGGCCAAGCGTCGTCTGGAGTCGTCGACCGGGGAACAGCTCCACCTTGACCTGGCCCAGTGCCTGTGCAGGAAATAACGGGGGTTTAGGGTTCAGGGTTTAGGGTTTAGGGTTTGAGTTTAGGGGTTTCGGGTTTAGGGTTTAGGGTTTAGGGTTTAGGGAGTAGGGTTTAGGGTTTAGGGTTTAGGGTTTAGGGTTTAGGGTTTAGGGTTTAGGGTTTAGGGTTTTAGGGTTTTAGGGTTTTAGGGTTTTAGGGTTTTAGGGTTTATGCCCTTTTTGGTGTAAAGGTGCTTCTAAGGGAACCTACACCCTAAAAAAAGGAACCAGGGCCTACTCTGGCTCCTAGTAACCCTAACCCCTAAACCCTAAACCCTAAACCCCGCCCCCCAAATCATCCAGAGCCAAGAGCCTTGTTGTTCACGTCTGCATAGCTAGGGTTTAAGGTCTAGCGTTTAGGGCCAGGTTTAGGGTTTAGGGCTTAGGGCTTAGGGCTCAGGGCTCAGGGCTCAGGGCTCAGGGCTTAGGCTCTAGGGTTGAGGGTTGATGTCATTCGTGCCAGGTAACTTCGACACGTAGAACTCCCGAGCTAGTGAGCCCCCAGAAAGGGCGGCGGTGAAGAACACCAACCCCAAACCCAAAAGCCCTGAGCTCGAACTCAAGATGGGAGACTCTCAGTCTGTCCGTGTACATCCCTCATCATTATGAGACTTGGTCCCTGATCCCGAAACCCCTAAACCCAAAACCCTAAACCCTACACCCTAAACCCTAAACCCTAAACCCCTCAACCTTGGGATGGGCCCCCTTATACTCACTCACAGTCCTTCATAGGGGTTATAGTACCCCCCCCCCACTATAATTCCTCCTAAGGACTCTTCGTATACGGGGGAACATCCCAACCTGTAAACCCTAAACCCTAAACCCTAAACCCTAAACCCTAAACCCTAAACCCTAAACCCTAAACCCTAAACCCTAAACCCTAAACCCTAAACCCCTCAAACCCCGTAAACCCCTTAAATCCTAGACAAACCCCTTGTCGGCCCTCAAAAAGGGCGCCTCAGGCTCCTCGCCGAAGGAAGGGCCATACCAGGGCAGCTCATCTGTGGGTTTGGGGGTTTGGGGTTTGGGGCTTGGGGTTTAGGGTTTAGGATTTAGGGTTTGGTGTTTGGGGTTTCGGGCTTTGGGGGGGGGGGGGGGGGTTAGGGACCGAGGGTCCTCAAGGGTTTGGGAGGGTTTGGGGGTGCCAGGGTCCAGGGCGTAGGAGCTTCGGGTTATTCATCTAGTTTGATCACGGGGTTTAGAGGGCTTTGAGATTCTACTGGTAGAGGTTTAAGGGTTCAGGAGGTTTAGGCGCAGGGGGGGGGGGGGGGGGGTGAGTGGGGGCTAGTGGCCTGAGGAATTAACTTCGTTTACAACGATGGCAACTTGGCCCTACACCCTAAACCCGAAACCCGAAACCCTAAACCCCAAACCCTCGATCGTGGGATCACGCCCCACGGGGCTTGGGCCCATGGGTCCTCTTCAGGGTTTTGGGTAGCCCTAAACCCTGAACCCTAAACCCCAAACCCCAAAGTCCTGAACGGTTTAGGACTTCAGCCCAAGCCTGGCTACCTCAAACACAAAAGGCACCCCCCCCTAAACCTAAACCCTAAACCCTAAACCCTAAACCCTAAACCAAGAAAACCTCCATGCGGCCTTCTTCAAGCAGATGCAGGGTGGCGATCCAGCCTTGATAGGATGGCAAGGGTTTAGAGGTTAGGGGTTAGGGTTTAGGGTTTAGGGTTTAGGGTTTAGGGTTTAGGGTTTAGGGTTTAGGGTTTAGGGTTTAGGGTTTAGGGTTTAGGGTTTAGGGTTTAGGGTTTAGGGTTTAGGGTTTTAGGGTTTAGGGTTTAGGGTTTAGGGTTTAGGGTTTAGGGTTTAGGGTTTAGGGTTTAGGGTTTAGTGTTTAGGGTTTAGGGTTTAGGGTTTAGGGTTTAGGGTTTAGGGTTTAGGGTTTAGGGTTTAGGATTGAGACGCGCAAGTATCCTGCCCTAGGAAAACCAGGACCTGATTCGCTTGATAGGTTCAAACGGGAGCCTCACGCAATGAGGATTTGGGTGTAGCGTTTAGGGTTTAAGGCTTGCGGTAAGCTCCAGATAGTTGGAACATGGTATTAGGATGATTAGAGCTCGGATTGCCTTTAGTATACCTCTCGAGGTATGGGGATAAGGATATTCCAACTTTTTTGGAGTTTGATGTAGGGTTGAGGGTTTAGGGTTTAGGGTTTGGGGTTTAGGGTTTAGGGTTTAGGGTTTAGGGTTTAGGGTTTAGGGTTTAGGGTTTAGGGTTTAGGGTTTAGGGTTTAGGGTTTATGGTTTAGGTTTAGGGTTTAGGGTTTAGGGTTTAGGGTTTAGGGTTTAGGGTTTAGGGTTTAGGGTTTAGGGTTTAGGGTTTAGGGTTTAGGGTTTAGGGTTCAGTCTCAAGCACTCAGGAAGCCTTGGAGATTGATGCGGTATTGAGGCTGAGGCAGGCAATCGACCCCTCGCTGGCTTCCTGCGGCTATGCGCGCTGGGTCTCGGCTCTACTTCGCCCTAAACCCCAAACCCTAAACTCTAAACCCTAAACCGTTTGCGGCTTAGGGCACTGAGGCAGGCCGAAATCACTGAGGGCTTAAGGTTCTTTAGGGTTGAGGGTTTAGGGTTTAAAGTTTCGGGTGCCAATCTCAATTCTGGGCCCTTTTTTTGGGGGGAGGAGGGGGGGGCAACCCCAAACCCAAAACCTGCCCCAAATTTTCAAGCCCCCCAACCAAAAAATGACAGAATATAGATCCGTTAAGCCCAGGACCCTAAATGGTGTTAGAGCCCCAAACCCCAAGCAATAACTTAGACTTAGACCGACGACCCCAAGACGCCGCAAACCCTAAACCCAGCAAAGGACCATGACTGAGCCCCTAAACCAGAGCTCAGAACCTTGAACCCTAGTCCCTAAACCCCTAGGGTTTAGGGTTTAGGGTTTGGCTTAGAGCTTCGTGTTTAGGGTTCAGGGTTTAGGGACCCAAAACCCTGAACCCCAAACCGTGCCTCGGAGGGCTCGAGCCAGCCGTGCAGCCTGCCCAGTTAAAGCACATTTGGAGCCGCCCTACCGCTACCCCTACCCCTACCCCACTACCACTACCACTACCACTACCCCTACCCCTACCCCTACCCCTACCCCTACCCCTACCCCTACCCCTACCCCACTACCACTCGCACTAGCACGAGCACTACCACTACCACTACCACTGCCACTACCGCTACCACCACTACCACTACCGCTACCACTGCCACTGCCACTACGACTACTACGACTACTACGACGACTACTACTGCGACTACGACTACACATTCTACTACAACTTCGACTACTCCTACTGCTACTACAGCGAACTGGAGCCAATCCCAAGACCATTTGCGCATGTTTCTGCTCGAAGCAGTTGCAGCTCAGTTGCTGCCAGCCGCGCCCCGAACACCAGACTGAACAAGCGAGTCGGAAGAGGCAGTATATAGAATTATTTCATCACAGCAGCTCGGTTTGCAAGGTGCTCCAGGACGCGGTGTACGACGAGGACGGGGAAGTAGCTGCAGTGCGCAAACTCGTGATGTGCGTTGCGCAGCTGCGGCAGAGTGGCCAACTGCTTTGACCAGGCGTGCGCAATGCCCTGCAGCAAGGACATCGAAAAGGCACAGCTGTGAAGAAAGAAGACCCTTTCTTTGGTCAGCAATGACACGATCCACCCAAAATACGACCACTGGTAGATGGTGAAGTAAGGCGAAATCGAACCTGTTCGGCCGAACACATTGTAGCTTAAAGACAGCAATACCGGGACAGCCAGCGTCCCCACGGGCCGGGGCTTGAACTTCCCGGCACTCGAGGCACCCCATGGAGCAAGCTGCAAGAAGGCCTGCAAGCCCCAACGGCAGGCCAACAGCTGCGCAAATGTCGTCCTTGGAGCTGCCCGCGCACGCAGGTGCCAGGTGCGGAAGAACGTCTGCAGGGCCTGCACTTCTAGCACGCCATGCAGCCAAAGCAGCTTCTCCCAGTTTTCGGCCACCTTCTTGCGGAGGGCGTAGCCAATTGCAATGCATGCGAGGGCGATTGCCCGCGCCTTGAGCGGCGCACCGCGCTGCGGCAGCAACAGCAACGCCCACGTCAGGGCAGTAGAGCTGGAGAGCCAACCCCACCTGGGGCTTCCGATCAGCTCATCCAGGCGGTCGAGGAAAGCAAAATTGGAGATCACCTGGAACACCAAGGCAACGGCGTGCATCTGCAGGTTCAGGTAGTGGGAGTGGTCACGCTTGAAGTGCTTGTATGCAACTTCATAGCCAGTCCTGCACCACGCCGTCTGCATCGCTGGCTTGGCCGGGTTGCAGAAGAAGGGGCCCGCAAAGTACATCAACGTGTTCACGGACTCCGGCAGCAGCACCGCCTCCTCAGCCCCAGCCATTGCGCCAGCCGGTCACTCTTCCCACGGAGCTCAGCAGGCTGCTACAGCACCAATGACCAGCAACACGGCTACTGCTGTTCGGATTCGAGTGTCTTCCTTGCGGCATGCAACTGGAACTTAGGACTCCCCCAGTGTCCTCCTAACCTGAAAGCGCGGTCGTCTGGGCTGTTGGGTTGCGGATTCTCGGGCCCAGGCTTGTAAAGGGTTTGAGAAGGTGGGGCCAACATCCTACGAGCGTAGTATTGAGGGCTCAATAATTAGAAGAGGGTTTTGGGGGTAGCTCTAGTATACTTCTATGGGGGCCATAAGGGAATACTATTCACAAATATTCCGACCCGACCGCTGGATTAAAACGGGGGTTTTGGGTTGGGGGGGGGGGGGGGGGTCCAACCAACGCCGACAGGCCATCGGCCTGGACTGATCGTCGGCAAGGTGCTCCTGGCACACAGCTGCAAGCCCTAAAAACCCCCAAAGCACGTCAAAAGACCCCTCAAGAAACCCTCAACAACCCTCTACAAACCCTCTTTTCTGCCCACCAAAAAACCTTCAAAAGGCCCTCACAAAAACCCTCAAAAGAGCCCAAACAAACCGCATTACATTTCTCGGGGTTTGGTGACAGAGTAAGGGAGCCTTGTCTACCCCATACATACCCCAGAAAAGCAAGGGCCCAAATGTAACCCTTTTCAACAAGGAAAGGGGCCATGTCACGAGACATGGCAATGGGGTAGTTGCAAGAAATTAGGAGTATAAGTCCCCCAACCAAGGCTCTAATCACTTCATGGGCTTGAAACGAAAGGAGGGACCCTTATAAGGGACCTTGCGGGTTATTTGGGGTTATTTAGGGTTTGTTTAGGTACATAGGGACTATAATATATATATATATATATATATATATATACATATATACATATATACATATATACATATATACATATATACATATATATATATATGCTATATGTACAGGGGTTATATTTGGGCGATAAAGGGGAATAAGATTAAGGGTCCCTTCTAGGGGTCCCTCCTTATATCCCCTAAGAAGACCTGAAGCCCTCAACCTGAAAACCCTAAACCTTGCACATGCCCGAAAGCCTTACAAAACCTCTACACCCTAAACCCTAAACCCTAAGCCCTAAAAAACCCTAAACCCCAAACCCTACACCCTAAACCCTAAACCCTACACCCTAAACCCGAAACCCTAAACCCCACCAGCAAACCCCGAAAAAAGGGGGCGGCACGCAACATGGAGCCGCAGCCGACATCGGCTATGGAACCCCGCCCAGCTCCAAGACCAAACGCCCATCTCACAACTTCAACCCTGAGCACTGCATGTTTGACCCTGAACCCCTAAACCCTGAACCCTATACCCTGAACCCTAAACCCTGAACCCTAACCCTAAACTCCAAACCCTAAGAATTTCGTGGAAACTGGACCCTAAGAACCCAAACTCTAGACCCGAAAGTCTACACCGAGCCTGAAGCAACCACAAACCTTGAAGCCTCCTGGAGGCCGGGGATGATACAGGGTTTAGGGTTTAAGGTTTAAGGTTTGGGGTTTAGGGTTTAGGGTTTAGGGTTTAGGGTTTAGGGTTTAGGGTTTAGGGTTTAGGGTTTGGGGCTTCTGCATTCCCGGTGCCTCGTACGTCAGCCGATTGGTCCTGGGGTCGGTGAAGATGGCGCACTCGCCGCGGGCTGAGAGCCAGCTGCCTGTCAAACCTAAACCCTAAACCCCAAACCCTAAACCCTAAACCCTAATCCCTAAACCCTAAACCCTAAACCCCAAACCCTAAACCCTAAACCCCAAACCCCAAACCTTAAAGCCTAAACCCTCGCCCCCCAAACCCCAGACCTCTCCCCTAAAACCTCAAACCAACCTTAAACCTCACACCCTTAACCCCCCCATTCACAGCACAGGCAGGGGGGGGCTAAACCTTGAACGCTAAACTTTTGTAATACACCCTCGCCCCCCAACCACACCCACACCACAGTGGCGGGGGGGGGGGGGGGTGGGGCGCAAGGGTCGCACAGGCGGCCGGTCTCTTAAACCTTCAACCCCAAATCCTAACCGTAACCCCCCACTCAGACCACAGGCCTAAACCTTTGACCCTAAACCCTAAACCCTAAACCGTACACACTAGTCCGTAACCCCCCAACAACACCCACACCACAGGGGAGGGGCGCGGGGGTAGGCCCTAAACCTTAAACCTAAAATCTACTAACCCCCCAACCACACCGGGGTGGCAGCCCGAGACCATATATACCCTTTATATATATATATATATATCCTATACAAATTACGGGCCCATACATCAGAACCCTTCAAGGGAGGTTAGGGACAAACTCCCGTCAGAGATTCACATCTAGCTCACGTATTCTCTGCTTCTTGGCTTACTGTCCAGTACAAATAATCGGGTGCTTTCACTAGGGCCTATCAACAACCCCTGTTCTGAGGATCTCAAACATTTGAGGAGAAACGAGCGGAAGAAACACCTGTTCTGAGGATCTCAAACATTTGAGCACAAACGAGCGGAAGAAACAAAAAACTAACCTCTACACCCTTGACGCCTGACTCAACAACTCGACCCCTACAACTGGATACCCAAAAACCTCGAAACGTAAACCCAAATTTGGAACCCCTAAACCGCTAACCCCAAAACACCCTAAAACCTCTAAACTTAAACCCCGCCCACTTACCCCTAACCCTCTAACCCCAAAGCCCCCTAAAACCAATCCCCCGAAGCCAAACTCAAGACTCTCAACCCTAAACCCCAGACCCTGAACCCGAAAACACCAAACCCGAAACCCTAAACCCCAAACACCCCCCAAGCCCTAAACCCAAAACTCCAAGCCCCAAACCCTCAACCAAGACCCCCAAAGCTCTAAACCCAAACCCCCAGACAAGAAACCCTCAACCCTAAATCCCAAACCCTAAACCCCAAACCCCAAACCCTAAACCCCAAACCCCAAACCCTAAACCCTAAACCCCAAACTCCAAACCCTACATCCTAAACCCCAATTCCCAAAACCCCACACGAGCCTTGCACAGCCTGCAGGGGTGGCATCCCCTCAAGGTCGGCAGCTTGGGAATCGCCTCTGCGGGGCTTTTGGGGGTTTAGGCTTTAGGGTTTTAGGGTTTTAGGGTTTAGGGTTTAGGGTTTAGGGTTTAGGGTTTAGGGTTTAGGGTTTAGGGTTTAGGGTTTAGGGTTTAGGGTTTAGGGTTTGGGGTTTGGGGTTTGGGGTTTAGGGTTTGGGGGCTTAGGGTTTGGGGTTAGGGTTTGGGGGTTTAAGGCTTGGGGTTTCGGGTTTGGGGTTTAGGGTTTGGGGTTTACGGTTTGGGGTTGAGGGTTTTGGGGTGTAGGGTTTGAGGTTGAGGGTTTCGGGTTTGGGGTTGAGGGTTTAGGGTGTAGGGTTTGAGGTTGAGGCTTTCGGGTTTGGGGTGTATAGGGTTTGCGGTTTGGGGCTTGAGGCTTATTCGACACTTACTTGAACGCATCTCGCTTTGAAGGGTATAACGATGAAAAGCGTGCGAAGTATACGAGCTTATTTTGCTCCAAATTTGCACCACAGGACAAATGTGACAAAAACACAGCTGCCCGTAGACGACATCGCTGAAAAGGACACAAAGCCTGCCGTAAGCAAGGCCTTTCCACCGCAAAGAGGCTGGATAACGAACGAAGCCTTCTGTTATATACAAAGCTCGAAATGAGGCACGCGAGCTCATTCCTTTCGTCGTCACTACGAAAACTGAGTTAGAACTCTAGAGTACTGCTTTGGTTTCAGTCAATGTGTAACCACACCCCAGCCCTCCCCTAAACCCTAAACCCTAAACCCTAAACCCTAAACCCTAAACCCTAAACCCTAAACCCTAAACCCTAAACCCAAAACCCACCCCCACCCCCAACTTGGCCCTACGGCAAGGCCACTTGCCTTCCTCTGCGGGCGCGTCCTCCAAGTCCTCTCGGATACAGATCGATTGCTTGGCCAGGGTTGAAAGTCTAAGGCCCCCATATATGGTTCAGCCCCGGCGGGCCCCCCCCCCCCCCCCCCACCCCCACTACCCCCCCCCCCCCCTACCCCCCCCCCCCCCCCCCCCCCCCCCCCCCCCCCCCCCCCCCCCCTACCCCCCCCCCCCCCCCATGGGTACTAAGATGATACCCCCCCCCCCCCTGTGGTGTGGTTGGGGGTTGGTTTTAGGGTTTTAGGGTTTAGGGTTTTAGGGTTTAGGGTTTAGGGTTTTAGGGTTTAGGGTTTTAGGGTTTAGGGTTTAGGGTTTAGGGTTTAGGGTTTTAGGGTTTAGGGTTTAGGGTTTAGGGTTTAGGGTTTAGGGTCCCCGCGGATGGGGTACTAAGATGATACCCCCCCCCCTGTGGTGTGGTTGGGGGTTGGTTTTAGGGTTAGGGTTTAGGGTTCAGGGTTTTAGGGTTTAGGGTTTAAGGTTTAAGACTTAAGGTTTAGGGTTTAGGGTTTCTTTAGGGTTTAGGTTTAGGGTTTAGGGTTTAGGGTTTAGGGTTTTTAGGTTTTAGGGTTTAGGGTTTAGGGTTTAGGGTTTAGGGTTTAGGGACCGTAGAGTAGACTTGGGGGGGGGGGGCCGGGAACGCCCGACGCTGAACCATATATGAGCACGCTTGGCCCCTCCGAGAAAGTATAGGAACCCTTAACAGTGTACAAATACATACACAACTATACACATAAGCATACAATGCTAAATCAATAAATAAATCAACAAATAAAAAACAATAAATACATGTATATATATATACATAAATATATAATAATAACAATAATAATAATGATGATAATGATAATCAGAATAATAGTAGTAATAATAATAATAGTAATTATAAGAATAATGATAATAAACATAATAATAATAATAATCATAACAATGATCATAATAAAAAATGATGAAAATATAAATAAATAAATAAATAAATAAATAAATAAATAAATAAATAAATAAATAAATAAATAAATAAATAAATAAATAAGTGTATATATAATACTAATTGAATAAATAAACAAACAAATAAATACATAAAGAAATAAATATGTATACATATATATATATATAACTCCGAGCCTTGTCAAGCCCACCTGTGGTGTCCAAAAGGAAAATCACATGCAAGCCCAATGCTAAAGGAAGAGTGGCCTGTATTTTGGATGGGCCAATGCAGGCCCGTTTAAACGTACATAAACCATCTGTCACAAGTCTAAGAGAGAATCTATCAGGCACGATTCCAGATGAGCAGCGGCGTGCAACGTGAATGCCTGAGGCGCAACAGCCACGGCGCTGATCTCATGACCGAGATGTCAGCAGCAAAGGCAAGCACCCGTGCACTTGGCACTTGACTCTGTGAGGTTGGAGGATGGCCGATGAGAAAACATGTATAACAATCCCAGGGGCCTGCCTAGGATTCTTGTGGGACCCCAACCGCTACACCCCAAACCAGCCGAGAACTGGCCATGATTGGGGTTTAGGGTTTAGGGTTTAGGGTTTAGGGTTTAGGGTTTAGGGTTTAGGGTTTAGGGTTTAGGGTTTAGGGTTTAGGGTTTAGGGTCGTCCTCATCGCCCTCATCCGGCACCGGCACCTGCTTCAAGCTGCAAGGCAAAGGGGATGCGAAGCCCTCACGGGGTTTGGGGCTCCATTTACCTACGACTATTTGGTGTCATGCCAGTTATGCCCATTTCTAGGGGGGTCATAACCTACTATGTTGTAGGGTTTAGAAGTCACAGGCAAGGTTTAGGGGGTTTTTCCAGGAGCTTGGAAACATGAAACGCCTGCAACGGCGGCACACGGTTGGAGGGATTGAGCCCCAGAACTCCCCGAAAACCGCTGCACCAGCGAACCGCGAACTTCCGAAGCCTCTGACCTTTGAGGGTTTAGGGTTTAGGGTTTAAGGTTTAGGGTTTAGGGTTTAGGGTTCAGGGTTTAGGGTTTAGGGTTCAGGGTTTAATAGGGTTGGCTATTAGCCGCCTTTGTGGCACACAAGCACTGTTGGAGAATGAAAAGCAGGCTTCGGATCTTATGCAAGATCGCTTGCTGAAAAGTCGTTCGTGGGCCTGGTCATCAGCTGACTATGTACTCTTGTGCTCTTTCAGGGTTTAGAGTATACTTTCTGACAGGACTCACGATTACGGTACGATTGAAACCGAGCAAACTACCGCAATCACCTTCGGAGCTGATGACCCTAAACCCTAAACCCTAAACCCTAAACCTAAACCCTAAGCCAAAGCTCGGCCTGCTTCGCGCGATCCCACTCCGACTTGGCGCGCTTTGCCTGGATGTGGTTGAGGTGTTTCAAGGTTCGGAGTTTACCCCTAAGCCCCCTAAGCCCCTAAACCCCTAAACCCCTAAGCCCCTAAACCCCTATAAGCCCCTAAACCCCTCAGCCCCTAAGCCCCTAAACCCCCGAACCCCTTAAGCCTGAACCCCTAACCCCCCAAACCCGAAACCCAAACCCTAAACCTTAAACCTTAAACCCATAAACCCTAAATCCTAAACCCTAAACCCTAAACCCGAAACCCTAAACCCTAAACCCGGACTTAGGACCATGTCAGGAGGGGAGGTGGTACCCTTCCAGAGGCCTCTAGCAGTGGTACATGGTTACCCACCTTCAGGCGTTCTAGTCTGAATCCTTAACCCCAATAACCCCTAGACCACTAGACCCCCTAAACCCCTGAACCCCCAAACCCCTCAACCCCTCAACTACCAAACCCCCAGAACCCCTAAACCCTAAACCCTGAACCACAAACCCCAAACCCCAAACCCCAAACCCCAAACCCTGAACCCTAAACCCGACCCCCAAAACCCCAAAACCCTAAAGCCTAAACCCCAAACCCCAAACCCTAAACCCTGAACCCCAAACCCTAAACAAACCCCAAACCCCTAAACCCTAAACCCCAAACCCCTAAACCCTAAACCCCAAACCCTAAACCCTAAACCCCAAACCCTAAACCCTAAACCCCAAACCCTAAACCCTAAACCCTCCGAGCAGAAGCTGCCTCCCGCTGGAGCTCCTCCACGCGAGGCTCTCGGGGCCGAGTGTCCTCGGGCGCTTGCCGAGATCAGGGGATCATATCAGGCTTCTAGGGTTTAGGGTTTAGGGTTTAGGGTTTAGGGTTTAGGGTTTAGGGTTTAGGGTTGAGGGTTGAGGGTTTGGGACAGTTTGGGGTTTAGGGTTTCGGGTTTAGGGTTTAGGGTTTCGGGTTTAGGGAAGTACGAGGGGCCGCCCTACAAGAAGGACCCGAAAAAAGGCACCTTACTTAATGTAGAGAAGTGACCATATCGGAATCCCGATACCACATGCGGCTTGCCAGCTAGAACCCCTGCCGCGCTCAATTGGGCCTTCAGGGAGCATTCCAAGTAACAAAAACGGCGCTTCTGTTTGTGTTGCCACGGTTCATTCCCCAAAGACTGCGCAAAAAAAACAGGGGTTCATGAGTATTTATCAGTAGGGTGATAAGTATGGGGTTAGGGCTTAGGGTTTAGGGTTTAGGGTTTAGGGTTTAGGGTTTAGGGTTCAGGGTTTAGGGTTTAGGGTTTCGGGTTTAGGGTTTAGGGTTTAGGGTTTAGGGTTTAGGGTTTAGGGTTTAGGGTTTAGGGCTCAGGGTTAGGGTTGTAATTCTTGACCTACCTACAACTATCCATGAACCTCCAGAAAAAAAAAAAAACTTCGCTTTCAGCGCCCATTGCCCATGTGTCCTTGGAGATCTCGGCAGCCTCAGCTGGCCCAAAGATTGGGGGGGGGGGGGGGGGGGGGGTGCGTGAGGTCGGGTAGTTGCTTGCACTACGCTTTGGCTCCTCACCAGCCAAATGGTCTCGCACTTGTTTTCTGCACTGATGTTCGCCTTCAGTCTCCGTCTCGTGCACCCGGGCGGTTTCCAGTTACGCTATTGCGCTTACTTCCAACCTATGGGTGACCTACACTCTAGGGGTTACTTGAGCCAACGTGGTGAACAGGCCACGGCGTTCTAAGGTGGTTTCCCCGATGTGCGGCGGAGCCGACACAACGGGTTTCCCAAACTGTGCTGTGGTTCGGGGATCATTCACACCCCCCACGGCTGGGATTTGCAAAATGCTAGACGAACTTGCGTCACGAACGTACAATGGTCCCAGTTAAAAGCGACTTAAAGTCTGGCCGTTCTCCACTGTTTTGCTTTATTTGCCCGAATTGATCGATGTGAGACAGACTTTCAGCTACTGAAGCGTTCAATCCCATCCTTTGTCTGTACAAAGACTTGCTGCTCACGGCTGTGGAATCATGGGCGCGAAAGGCCCTGAAAACATGTCAGCAAATTGCTGATCCATCACATTGCGTCTCCAGAATGCATGACTGAAAAGCAGTAGCATCGGCCAAGTCAGCAGAGCATGACCCATACCCACTTGACTACCACACGAGCTGCGAAGAATCGCACATTTCCCTCCAGCGGGCGCATTGGCACATTGCCCCGCTGCTGCTATGCAGTGGCCGAAAAGAGAAATAGCATCGGTGGATATAATGACGTACTCCATCGTATCATCTGTTGCATCCATAGGGAAAAGAGGAATCAAAACTGAGAACGCAAAGTGCTGAGCCACAACCAGATTTCAGGAATACCATGGATTCCAGGGGATGACATACCGGAGGATCCGAGTACATCAATCACCCTTTCTTTCCAGATCCTTTTCTTGATTGACCGCGAGGATCTTTGGGAGCAGCTTGAGGTGTCCCAGGATGAGAAGTCTTGGGCTTCGGCTGACTCATGCGGGCCTTCGCACGTGCCGGCATGTCCGTCTCGTCTGCTTCAGGATGACGAGATCCTCCCGACGAAGTAACCGAAGGTGCGGATGCTGAAGGGTCATAGGCAAGGTACAAAGCCGACGCCTTTGGATTCTCCAAATACTGTGTGGGCTTCAACTTCAGGATGCTCATGTCCTTCTTTTGATCACTCAACCATCTGTCCAGCTTCTTGCTGTACTGGTTGGGTAAAGCGCACCCCGAATCCCTCATCACCAGAAGGTTGTTGACGCTCACCTTCTGCGAGTCCATCAAACTGAGCAGCTGAATCGGGTTGATGTATTTGAATGCCGCGTGGTACGGGATCTCAGCGTTGGGTTTCGTGTAGGAGTAAAGCCTCACGTTCAACACCTGATAGATGATTTTGGCCATGAACATGTGGACCCTTTGCCCGGCTTCAGCAAATGCTTTCGGGTCCTCGGCCTCATCAGGAATCATGGGGAGGTTAAAGCTCTCCTTGTTGTATCCCAGCTGGATCGCCCCACGCATGACGTAGAAGACGAACTTGTTGGCGTAATAACGCTCAATCATGAACTGCTGGTTCTCCACAGAGCTGGCATACTGCCTTACCTCGTCTTCCGTGAGGTCTCTCGGCAACGCCGTGTCCTCATCGATGGGGACAATAGGCCATGTCCCAGACGCGTCGTGTCTCATGCCTGAGGCGAACTGGTCCTTCATCTTCTTGTATGGAGTCATGATGATCTTCTCGAACAGATTCCATTTATGGACCAACACGTACGCAAAGAAGGCGTCGAGGTGACAATACAACCTGAAGTTGTGGTCCACGCACGCTGCATAGTCCGTGTCGATGTTGACATTGCACTCCAGCGCAAGGCGAGCTTTCCTCTCGTTTCGATCGTCCAGCGAATCGCCTTCCCTGTCTCCCACCAGCACGAATGCTCGCTGATTCTGCGCGTCCATCTCCACCTCTTCTTGGTTGGGAGCCTCCATCTCCACATCGCGGTACATGTCGCGAATCTCGTCGGGGATCTCCTCGGCCTCAGGTTCCGCTACGCTTTCTCGAGGACTGTTTGCCTCTGCATCCCCTGCCGGATTCTGCACCCCGCGGAGCGGAAGCGCCTCCTCCTGTACAGGTTCTGAAGTTTGCTCCTCTTCCACGTCAATCTCCACAACCTCGTTGTTGACGACGGCAGCGGCCTGATTGAGCGCCTGGCGAACCACTTCCGGATCAATCCTTTCGGGTTCCGGATTGGCACGCACATGCTGGATCCTCCCCATGGACAAGAAAACTCTCCCACACGTGAGGCAAATTGCGAAGCTCGCGGGGGTGTGCCTGCCGCAGCAGGGGCAAACCCTCAAGATCAGCGGATCGCTTGCGGTGGTGTGAGTCGTCACTCGCCGGAATGTCCTTGAGAGAAACTGGAAAGCACGCTTGATGATGTTTCCAGGAACGGTGTCGCCCGCCTGCTCAATTGCTTGCAAGATCTCGTGCCTCTCGCCTTCATGCGGGCCAGCGTCGGTGCCTTCCATGGTGCTGACGAGGTCTTCCACCGAAGGTTTTGGAGGTTCACGATCAGGATTGATGCGTGCGTCCCCGTACCCTTCGACCATCTCCTTGGACAGCTCTTTGGAGTACACCTTGAAGACTTCGCTGAACTCGAAGTATCTTCCTTGGCTTGGCACGCAGATCCAAACGTGCTTGACGGCCTCGAATGGAATTTGCCGCTGGACGAGAAACATTCCATTGATCGTGATCACTGCGTTGTAGCGCATGAGTTCATAGGCTGGAACGTACAATACTGCAATTGGTGACCTCGGCCTTCCGGGAATCCTTGTTCTCACCGTCTGATTTCTCGGATCCCATGGCGGGAAAGTCCCGAAGTGGCTGTGGACCCGACCGCCTGACGCCCCTCCACCTGGAAGAAGTCCTTTCGCCACGATGTTGGCGAGAAGCTCTGGGGCCGTGGTATGATACCCCCCACCAATCTGGTTGACCAGGCTTGTGGTCAAGTGGCATGCGACCCTGTCGTCATTCACCCGCACCAGTGAATTGGAGTTGCTGGAGTGTCCACTTGTGGCCCTGATCGCCCATGGCTGCACCCAATTGTCGCATCGACGAAGGGTCCCGGACGTAATGTCATGTGTCAACCTGTGTCCTCCGAGTTCTTCAAGTTGGGCACGTTGGGTTGCACCGACGCCCGGAGTACCGTCCCACGGCGTATCGGATGCCCTCTGTCCAGGTTTGGGCGCCACGATCTTGATGCCCAGGAATTGAAGTCTGATCCTTCCGTTCGTGCTGTACTCGTAGTACGCGTAGTCGATCAGCATTTGGATTCGTCTCTGATACTCAGAGTTGTCGTCTCGAGCTGAACTCCTTGCATAGTACCTCCCGCTTTGCCAGAAGTTCTCCAAGTTGATGAAGTCTTTGAGCATCACCCATCCTCCGGTGTCGCACGGGATTGTCGGAAGCTGGTTGTGCATGTAGTTTGTCTCCCTGTTTGCTAGGCGGTGCCTAAGCAAACGTTGCACATCGTAGCCCAGGGATTTGATCCTGCGATGATAATCCCGATTGCGATGGTTGTCATTGGAGGATGTCGCGGGGACCAGGGCCGAAAAGTGCCTGTGAGCGAACCTTGCACCCTTGATGGGTAGGAGCCGGAGGTCCCCTCCGATGACCAGCTTGCCGATGTTCACGTATCCCACGTTCGAGGAAGGATACTCATCGATGTCGCTTCGGAGAGGGTGTGTTGCAACGTCTCCTCCAACCTCCTGCTCAATCAATCGGCGCGTTGCATCCTGCGATTGTAATCCGATCTCGTAGATGCTCTGCCCGCCGACCCACGATACGTCCTCGATGGACTTGATGATGTCAAGGCAAGACTTCGGCTCGTGGTAGCGAATCTCGACGAATGAACGAGCATTGCCGGCGTTGTTCGCAATCCACCGCCTAGGAGCTGGCGCAGCTTTGGGCTCTGGAAGATCAGGTCTCGGTTGGGGCCTGCGTTTGGGTCGAAGCGTTCTTGTCGCAGTTTCTTCTGGTTCTTCATCGACTTCGATCACGACCACTGTAGGATCCTCAACTGAGATTGATGCTTGACGCCGTCTTGGCAGCGGGTCTCTGGAATCCTCCGAAGACGCTGCAGCTCCAGGCTCAACGCTTTCCCCATCCCCACCCGGAGTATCCGAAGCGGTTCCTGGTACTTGCGGAGCGCGAGCGGCATCTCGCAAATTCTTCTCTGCCCATCTCTGGAAGATCTCTGTTGGTGGCGTACTGCTTGACTTGTGCATCTTAGCCAGGCTTTTCCCAATGATGCTGAATGCTTCGTTCACCACCAGAGCGTTGTACCCCCCATTTGCTTCGCAATTTCGGGTGTTGTGGCCATAGTTGCCGCAAGCAAGGCACATGCTGGGTGGTTGCATACCAGCGGTTATGCGTAGGGCATTGAGTGCTCGGACGTAACCTTCACAAGGACGTGATATCTCACCCAGCTCGGTCTCGTTCGGTTCTTGCATGGTGGGGATAGAGCTTGCCTCGGGCACGCCCATATCATCATCTTCCTGCCCCTCAGGTTCCACGCCGGAGGATCCGAGCGCTTCCCCTTCATGGGCTTGATCCTCACCTTCTGGTTCTCCACCACGAGGTTCTGCACTGGGGACGGGTGCTGCGGAGAACTCTTCAGGTCGTTGATCTTCCGGAGAAAGGGTTCCAAGGACTGGCTCCTCAATTGGCAGGACTCGATCGACAAGGACCGCATGCCATTCTCCTTGGAGTAAAGTGTTCTCGTACTCCATGATCTGCTGAATCGTCTCTGCATCATTTGCCCGGGGAGGACGACGTTTTCGATTCTCCACGGCAGTAATTCGCACCGCCTCCGCTGCAGCAAACCGATAGAAGGACCGCTCAATTCCTCGAAGACAAGCGAGATGATCTTCGTACGATCCCCAGGCTTCGAATGCCGAAGGATACCTGCATGCAATTGTC